CTGCTTGCCTATTACGAAGTGATGTTTGTACCTCAAAAGGCGGTTAAAGGACAAGCGATGCAGACTTTCTTGTTGATCATCCTATCCCTAAATCTTCCAAGCTCCGCGAAGATCTCTCAGATGAGGTGTTTGAATCAAATGTCACCTGGGATCACCAAGTATGACAACTTTACTTCGATAGCGCATCGCGTTGCACTTACAAAAGAACAATTGTTGTATGTGTAGGGCTAGTGCTTATTGCTCCCCATGGTCGTCACGTCCTTCCTCAGGCCGATTCACTAATTGAGCTATGTTCTAGCCATGTTCCAACAATGTGGCTGAGTACAATGCCGTGATAATTAGTTTACAACTTGCTTAGGACATAGGCACTAAGTATCTTGAAGCACACAGTAATTCCAAATTAATCATCAACCAGATAAAAGAGGAATATGAGGTCGAACGCAATGATCTTTTGCTATGTCATGAAGCGACATTGAGGCTCACTCATTCTTGTGAAAGGCTTCTACATCGTCTATGTAGCCTGCCTTGAGGATACTTACGCTGATGCCTTAGCATCACTCGTAGCTATAACCTTGACTTCTAAGTCCACCAAGCAGATTATAATAGCCAGCTACTAGCTGTGCTACCCTAAATAGATCCTAGAAGCCAATGAGATCCGTGCTGTGCCCAAACAGATCCTAGAAGCCAATGAGGTCCGCCCTACACTTAGGGGTTTTGAACCCAATGATTGGCGTTATCCAATCGTCGACTATTTCTTGAATGGCATATTGTTGGATGATCCAAAGCAAGTAATCTCCATTAAAGAAGAGTCCCCTATTTCTTTTACGACTCTGCCACACAGACATTGTACCACCGATTGTTTGACAGCGTATTGCTCAGATGCTTGTCATCGAGTGAAGCTCAAGAAGCACTCGAAGAGGCCCCACGATAGCACATGAGGAGCTCATCAACATGGACCTAAACTCTAGGGTCGACTCCGTCGTCTAGGCTACTATATGATCGCAGACGCAATGGCTTACGCTAAGCGGTGCCGTGCATGTCAATTCTATGTAGACATTTTACACCAACCCTCAGAAGAATTACACCAAACCGTCACCTTATGGCCATTCAAGATATTGAGAATGGACATCGTTGGGCCAATTAGCCCACCGTCTATTAAAGGTCATCGATTCAGTTTGGCTACTACTGACTACTTCTCCAAGTGGGCCGAAACCATCCTACTCAAGTAAGTCAAAACTTCTAATGTGGTCAAATTCTTGAAACACGATGTCATCTACTGATTTGGCGTCTCTCGCAGGATTGTCCATGATAATGTTGATAATTTATCAGCCGATCATTCTTTTAATTCTACAACAAGTTTCGAATGTAGGATATGACTTCTACGCCATACAACTCGGCTGCTAATGGCCTGACCGAAGCATTTAATAAGACCATCATCAAGTTTTTGAAGAAGTTTATCTCGTCCAACAAATGAGATTGGGACGAGAAACTAGGAGAGTGCCTTTGCGCCTGTTGAACAACAATTACTCTCACGGGTGCTATGCCTTTCTCTTTGGTATACGTATGTGAAGTTGTAGTGCCATTAGAGATCCAAATTCCGTCATTGAGAATAGCTCTCGCGGAAGAAATGACGATCGAAGAACATCATCAGAGGCATCTCCAAGAACTAGAGGTGGTGGACGAGTTGAGACAAAAAGCTCAACAATGACTCGAGATGTATCTGTCTCGAATATCAAAAGCCTGCAATAGGAGAGTCAAAGAACGATCCTTTAAAGAAAGAGATTTAGTCTTAGCTGTCTGTCGACCCATGGTCATGACACAAAAGATCAGAGGCAAGTTTCAACCCAAGTAGGAAGACCCATTTATAATAGAGACAGTCTACTCAAATGAGGTATACTGCCTGATCCATCCAAACGATAATAAGCTTATGGTGCTAATCAATGAAAAATTTCTCAAGAAATATTATCCTTGCATTGAGCCTTTTGTATCACCCCTCAAAGTTATCGGTCACGTTTAAGTTTTCACCTCTGACCATAAGAATAATTTCTCAATTATAATCTTAACAAAATTCCCCACGAGTTATCAAGTTAACATCATAACTCTGCTTAACCCTGCGTATCATTCGCCACAGTCATGTTAACATTATACCTCTGAATGGTTTGCCTCTCTCTTGGACTTGACCGATTAACACCACACCCCTATCAGTCCCTTCTCCAAAATCAATTAGTTAACATTACACATCCATCAACTCTCTCTTGGACTTGACCAATTAACACCACACCCCTATCAGTCCCTTCTCCAAAATCGATTAGTTAATATTACACATCCATCGATTTTTCATACCGTTAAGTTAACATCACGCTTCTAAACAGTAATTGTCCTTGGACTCCCTTAAATCTGATTGGTTAATACTATACCTTTGTCAGATGTTCTATTAGACACATTAACACTACACCTCTGTGAAATTCGTCAGTACTTTTATGTTAACACTACACCTCTAAATAATACCCAATTTACAAACCTGATACGTTAATATTACACTGTCAATTTCTTTATTTACATAGGCGAGTTGAATCTCACAATTCAGTCACTTTTCTCCTCAGAGTCATTAGCGATTCTAAATTTCGTACGATATGTTGACATTACTCTTCTATCGTTTGACTCCAAAATTCAAAAGCAAGTTCTTTATTACCGAAAAGAGCTAAGTTATTACGAGTAGTTTGGCCCAAAGGCAAAAGATGCAACATGAAGATAAGCTAACTATTGGTGATACAAGGACATGAGGTGCTTAACAAACTTAGCCATTCTAGCCTCGCGCACGCAAAGAGCGCTCTTCAAAGCAGGCTCCCTCAATGTTTAAAGGATGTAGTCCATGTAAGCAGACCACGCTCTCTTTCATGCTTACAAAACCTAGATGGGTAGCCTAGGTACCACCTAGGCGAGGTGGCCAAGGTATTGTCTACTCCTAGGCGTAAGCCTAGGTGGGTGTTTTTTAAAACATTGGGCAGCAAGACGAACGAACAATTCATTCAAACTCCGATTGACCTCTTCCAGTCCCTTCTTAGTTGTCTCCTCGAGCTGGCGGCACCGAACTACAAGACACCGAAACTCGAGACCTGCAACAGAAACAACATTAGCCTTGCTGAGGTTTTGCAACTCTCGAAAGTGGAATTCCGCTTGGTCAATCATCCTCCTGTAAGGCTTGCTACATTTAGTTCCAGCAGCCGACATAAGAACATCGAGCCGACTCTGTAGCAAGTGCTTAGTGCTAGAGGATAAGCCTTTGCTATCAGTCAAGGCCCTCTCGACACTCTGACTAAATAACATCATCAAGCTCTCAATCAAGATTTGAATCTTCGACTTGGGATAACACCTGCCAAGAACCTTTCAACGAGATCAAAGGTTATCTCATGGAGCCACCGGTTTTAGTCGCACCAATATCGGGTAAACCATTCCTGATTTATATCAGGGCAATAGTCCATTAAAGAGAAGTTAATGCGCAATGACCAAAAATCAGACAAAGAGAAGGAGAATCAAGTAACAAACCACCGAATTGGACTCATCGTCATTATCCAAGCTATCCTCAGTAACTGCATCACGATCCACATCACCGATCCCTCAATCTCCCCGTTTCATCCATCGACAGTGTTGAGATTGTGCAGCGAGTTCTCGATGAACGAATTCGACGAGGAGGGGGAGGTTGAAGAGGATGAGGAGGAAGAGGATGAGGAGGAGGGAGAGGGGGAGGTTGAAGAGGATGAGGAGGGAGAGGGAGAGGGAGAGGGGGGTTAGGAGCAGGATGGATTTTTGATGAGGGGTTTTATGCAAAAAATCCCATCAGCATTTTCCGGAACAGTAACTCCTACCAAATTTAAGGGTTCTATGGCGTCGGAGTCTACAAATATACCAATCTGACAAAACTAAAAGAAAATATACCAACATGTCACTAAACCTCTACAAAATATACTAATCTGGCCATTTTGCCTATATATATATATATATATATATATATATATATTTGACCCTTCATCCACTCGTATCAATTTTAACGGTTTCGAATGAATAGAACTTTTTACATTGCTCGACGAAGGGTCAAACCACGACGGGTTCACCCCAAATTTGGATATGAATACATATATGTGTGTGTGTGTGTGTGTGCATATATACATGTTTATATACATACATATATATGTGTCTATATACATCCACATATATATACACAGACACACACACGTACATACATACATATATGTGTGTGTACACACACACGCACATAAGATTGTTAGGAAAAACTCAAATTAAGCAATTTAATAAAAGTAATTAAAATGGATATGATCGCTGGCTTGTGCGGAGCAGTTGTGTAAACACTGCCCTAGAAAAACAAACGTCCACCCTTGTGCAAGCTTTAACGATGGTCCGTCTTCTAGCAGTAAAAGCCCCCGGAAAACCTGTCCCTGAGGATGCAGTGACTCCTCAAGCCTCTTGCTTGCATGATTGTTGCCCGGACAAAAATTGAAAAATATAAATTGCAAGATATATAAATATCTAGAAATTTTGAGAGAGGGAGAGAGCTGTAGAAGAGATGAAGCTTTTCTACTTTGCTATGTATTTTTTCCTCTTATTCTGAGCACGTCTTTTATAGAGCTTTTGAGAGAAACGTTGAAGAAACTTACTCCGCTTTTCTCCTATGATTTCCATAGTATCTTCTGTCTCTTCCGTTACACGTTTAACAGAAATTTTCCTGCTTTTTTTCCCTTTCTTACTGTTCTAAAAACGCAGGAGAGTTGTCATAACTGATTTTAAAAGGATAAATTAATACATGTAAAGAGATCAGATAAGATTAAGAAACTTAACCTTTTCCCATTTAAAACATAATAAAGTCCAAGATACAGTAACTTTAAGATGTTTAAAATCCATTTGTTATGTAGATTGAACAAGCTAATGTATATTTTTACCTGTAGATTGAACAAGCTAATGTATATTTTTACATTCTTCTGCAGTTGCTAGAGTTCTTGAATGCTAAATTGGAATCTACGTTGTGTGATGAAGAAAGTTTTGTAGTAATTGGCATATTTTGTCTTGTCCTGCACCATTCCGCCAACCATGTGCTAAAACACACTTCAAGGGCCATCCTTCTTAACAAATCATTGATTTCTGCAGTTGATGCCATAGTACAAACAGTTTCTGCAAAAGGTCCATCTTTAGCTGATGAAGAAGCAGGCATGGAGCACTGCCTTATATTTGTTCTTCTGTTATACTTTTTCTCTTTAAAAAGGTTGGCATTCTCATCTCCTGCATTTTCTACTAAATGTTGCAAGCCCTTCTAACAAATGCTCTCCTCAGTTTGTTTACTAATTTTCAGGAAATTTTGTATTGGAAAAATTTTCTCCAGTCACCAGATGATGAAGTGCAACAACTATCGGTTATTTGCATAAGATGCCATGATCTATGCAGGTTGATGCATTTTGGTCCACCTTTGGTCAAAGTGGTTGCTTCACAGTGCTTGGTGGAGGTGCTGAGTGGAATTTCTGAGCAGAGGAATATAAATCATAACGAGCTACGATGCTCGTTGAACTATTTAGAATCTATTGTGATGGTGATTGAAGGGCTAGTATTCTGTGGAGACTACGTGGTGGCAATGAACTGTGCCATGTGTTTGTCTATGCTATTAAGGTGGGAGAAGCTGGGTTTAGTGGAGATTGGGGTGATCATAGGTTCTAAGTGGTCCAGGTTAATTGTGGAGGAACTTGTAATGACCTTGGCAACTCCAAATCTGGCATCTAAATGCCTTGCTAATCAGCACAAACCTGCAGCTCGTATTGCTGCTGCGTTGCTTAGAATGGACAAGATACCGGGATGGATAAGATCTGTTTTTGACAACTCATGCATCTCGGGGATTGTTGAAAACATTTCTGCTGGCAGTTTGAGCCCGGACATTGTTATGTTGTTACGAGAGCTTATGACTCGGAATTATCTGAGCAAGGATCAAGTTGCTTGTGTACATCACTTATTTCAGGTTTGTCTTTTCTGGGCGAGCACTAATTAGTCGTTTGGTATTTTCCCTGTGAAGTGTGGTTATACACATAGAAGCAGGGTAAAGCATCTGAACTGTGCTGACTATTCTCAAATTTTGGCATACATACAGCATCTGCCCAGAGTTTTGAACTGGGCACATACACACACATACTAGATCTACCTTTTAATTAATACCAAGTGATATATTTTTGTTGAAAATATGGAAAATTTTCTCTTAATTATTTTCAAGTTTTTAGTTCTCATTTAAACTGTTTTATCATATGCGGAAGAAAGTGGAAGAAATGGTTATTCTGATGGGGAAATAAATGAATTAGAGTGTACCCTTGACCTTATTTCATGTAATTTTCAGGTATACAGAAACCAAGCGTATGAGGATATCACAAAAGTGACTTTCACGAAGCAATCAATAGAGACGGTGGTTGGAATTCCCGATGATATCGGTAAAATGCGCATCATGCTTTTCAACCTTATGTTATACCCGTCAGCACTTGATCCTGTAGTGCCAACGGATCATAATAGGTTGTTGGAAGAAATTGATATGTTCTTTCATGAGTCATCAATTTTATTGTGAGAGAGCTAAAAGTAGTACCGAACATGCTTGTTTTGGTTGTTTATAGTCACATATACCTCTAAATATTATAATTTTGGTTGTTTATATGGAGTTTATTATTTTTTTTTTTTGCAGATAGATACTCTGAGAATAAAAGTGAACAAATTGTTAACGGTTGTATGTGTATATTTTATGGTTAACTTGCCTAGTGTATATGCATTGCACATGTAACTATTTGTTAATTTATTTGTATATTAAAATGTATTAATATAAGGGCTTTTTATTTCTAGCCCCATTTATTTACTTCACTTTATCTATAAACCCAATGACTATTTGTTGTATCTCTACACCTAAATTTTATTTTTTGTATTTATCTTTAAACTCAACTTTCAAAATACAGTAGGCTGAACACATGTATTTATATAGAAACATAGTAAAATTCCCAAAATATCCTTTTAATAGCCCCATATAAAACCTAGTTCCTCTCTCTCTCTCTCTCTCTCTCTCTCTCTCTCTCTCTCTCTCTCCTCATTTTCCCCATTTTATCTCTCAGCCCTAATTGAAAAACCCGCGTCCCCCTTCTCGTTGCCGACGCCGACGTTGTAAGCTCGCCGTCGCAGTTCTCGTGGCCCGTCGTCGTCGCAGTGACTACGCCGTGAGCTTGCCGTCGCCTTGATCTCGACCTTGTCGTCGCCCGTCGCCGTCTTAGTGACCACGCCGTCGAAGCTTACTGATACTTCGAAGATTGGTGGGTTGTTGAACGTGTTGGAAACTATGAGGATGAATAACCCCTTTTGGCGGTTTTGATGGTGAATCTTTGCTGGTTTTTGCTTTGGAGAATTAGAGAGCAGGAAGCTTTGTAGGAATTAGCCACTATAGCAAACAAAAACAAAGCTTTTAACCCAAGTTTGCAACTATCTATTACATTCTTTATTATTCTTTGCATGTTGAGAGTTGTTTATATACTTAAAATTGTTCCTAATTATGCTTGTTTAAGCCGTTGAGCCTCCGAGATGAGTAATGAGCTAGTTAGAAAAGAAAAAACAAGAAAGAAGAAAGAAGAGGGGAAACTGGATTTAAGTTAAAATTGTTCTATAATATGTGTATCTGAAATATGCGTGAGTATGTTTTGTAACATTTCTCAGCTTTTGACTAACTTTGTGACTGTGAATGTATCTGAAATATGTGTGAGGATGTTTTATAACACATATGTGAGGATGTTTTGTAACATATCTCAATTTGTGCAATTATTTGTGACTGTGAATGTATCTCAAATTGGTCATTGTTAAAATTTGTTACATATCTCAAATTGTGACTGTGTTTGTGATTGAAAATGTAGCGTGTTAAGTGTAGAGGATGTTTTGTAACATATCTATGTTTGTGATTGAAAGTGTAGTGGATTATCCTGTAAGTGTAGTGGGTTATCCTGTAAGTGTAGCGTGTTATATTGTAAGTATAGTGGGTTATGCTATAAGTGTAGCGGGTTACACTGTAAGTGTAGCGAGTTATCCTGTAAGTGTAGAGGGTAAAACTGTAAATGTAGCGGGTTATCCTGTAAGTGTAGTGTGTTACACTGTAAGTGTAGCGTGTTACACTGCAAGTGTAGCGTGTTACACTGCAAGTGTAGCGGGTTATCCTGTAAGTGTAGAGGGTTAGCCTGTAAATGTAGCGGGTTAGCCTACAAGTGTAGCGGGTTACATTACAAGTGTAACGGATTATCCTGTAAGTGTAGCGGGTTATCTTGTAAGTGTAACGGGTTACACTGTAAGTGTTGCGTTTTACACTGCAAGTGTAGCGGGTTATCTTGCAAGTGTGACAGGTTACACTACAAGTGTAGTGGGTTACCCGCTATACTTACAGTGTAACCCGCTACACTTGCAGTGTAAAACGCTACACTTACAGTATAACCCGTTACACTCACAGGATAACCCGCTACACTTATAGGATAACCCGCTACACTTGTAATGTAACCCGCTACACTTGTAGTATAACCCGCTACACTTACAGTGTAAACCGCTACACTTACAGCGTAACACACTACACTTGTAGGATAATCCGCTACACTTATAGGATAACCCGCTACACTTGCAATGTAACCCGCTACACTTACAGGCTAACCCGCTACACTTACAGGATAACCCTCTACACTTACAGGATAACTCGCTACACTTGCTGTGTAACCCGCTAAACTTGCAGTGTAACACTCTACACTTACAGTGTAACACGCTATACTTACAGGATAACCCGCTACACTTATAGTTTTACCCGTTATACTTACAGGATAACTCGCTACACTTATAGGATAACACACTACACTTATAGTGTAACACAATATACTTACAGGATAACCCGCTACATTTTCAATCACAAACATAGATATTTTACAAAACATCATCTACACTTAACACGCTACATTTTCAATCACAAACACAGTCACAAGCTGAAATATGCTACAAACTTACCACTACATTCACAGTCACAATTTGAGATATGTAACAAATTTTAACAATGACCAATTTGAGATAAATTCCAGTCACAACTAATTGCACAAATTGAGATATGTTACAAAATATCCTCACATATATGTTACAAAACATCCTCACACGTATTTCAGATACATTCACAGTCACAAACTTAGTCAAAAGCTGAGAAATGTTACAAAACATACTCACACATATTTCAGATACACATATTACAGAATAATTTTAACTTACATCCAGTTTTCCCTCTTCTTTATTCTTTCTTGTTTTTCCTTTTCTAGCTAGCTCATTACTCGTTTTGGAGGCTCAACGGCTTAAACAAGCATCATTAGGAACAATTTTAAGTATATAAACAACCCTCAACATGCAAAGAATAATAAAGAATGTAATAGATAGTTGCAAACTTGGGTTAAAGGCTTTGTTTTTGTTTGCTATAATGGCTAATTCCTACAAAGCTTCCTGCTCTCTGATTCTCCAAAGCAAAAACCACAAAAGATTTATCATCAAGACTGCCAAAACGGGTTATTCATCCTCACAGTTTCCAACCCGTTCAACAGCCCACCAATCTTTGAATGATCAGTAAGCTTCGACGACGTGGTCACTACGTTGGCGATGGCAAGGTTGAGATCAAGGCGACAGCGAGCTCACGGCGAGGTCACTGCGACGGCGACGGGCCACGGGGACTACGACGACGGCTTCGGCGTCGGCGACGGGAAGGGGGATGCAGGTTTTTTAATTAGGGCTGAGAGATGAAATGGGGAAAATTAGGGGGGAGAGAGAGAGAGAGAGAGAGAGAGAGAGAGAGAGAGAGAGAGAGAGGGAGTGGGTTTTATATGGGACTGTTGAAAGGATATTTTGGAAATTTTACTATGTTTCTGTATAAATACATGTGTTCAGCCTACTGTATTTTGAAAGTTGGGTTAAAGATAAATACAAAAAAAATTGGGTGTAGAGATACAACAAATAGTCATCGGGTTTATAGATAAAGTGAAGTAAACAAATGGGGCTAGAAATAAAAAACCCTTAATATAATTGCTTTTAGAAAAGTTAAAAGTATTTTCTATAAATAATTGTTGTACATTTAACTGTATCATTATTATTCCCTTGATTAAGAGAGAAAGACAGATAATGCACCAGTGAGGAAGACATGCAACAGATGATGCCACCTATTATGAACACTAGTGAGGAAGACGCATGCAACGCACGTGCCTGCTTCATGGAGGTGTAACATTATTGAAATTTTTGTTAGGCCCCTCATTCTCATAAATTGTTTCAAATAGATCTCTCTCTAATTGGTAATTCTACTCTTGATTTTGAAGGACAAATTTTAAAATATTTTAAGATTTGAGGGATCTAATAAATAGCAGTTTCAATTTGATGGAGTCAATTCAAAATAGCTTAAGCATGCAATATTGCTGCAACCATCTAAATATTTGTAGACATGAGAAACCTTAAATATAAGGTCTACAACTTTATACAACGACAATACAAAGTTCCTAACTTCTGTACAAGGGAAAGGATAAGCGACCATCATCATCATCATCTCATCTCTTTTGACTCTTGAGGAGCTCTTGACGGTTGATCAAGAGGGAGATTTGGGCTTGCAGGAATTGATTCCACCTTGCCATCATCAACTGTAGTTGGTATAGAGACTTAAGTTCTCTTGCTTTTGGCTAGAACTTTATGTCTCTATGTTATGCGCTCATTAACCATCTATATATCACTGAGACTAGGGATTTGTTGGAAAATGGGTGTAGACCCAAACCTGTCAGCGATTTCAGGCAAAGTCTAGTTGACGCCGAGATTCAGACGAGGTGACCCCACGACTCAGGCGAGGTCGAGCTCCCTCAGGCGAGGTGCGCTTCAGGCGAGATCGTCAAAGGCGACAAGGTGCAGGCGAGGGCCCGAGATCTGGCGAGCTCGAGCGGGATTTTTCCAGGCGAGGTCGGCGAGGCTAGTAAGCGAGGTCAACGACTAGATCTTCAGGCGAGCGCAGATGAGCTTCAGGCAGGGTCTTCCGCATGCAAGCTCGAAGTCCCCCCTTCACAGGCGAGTGCGGGACAGCCTGGATCCAGCCTGGCTAGGGTTTCCCTATAAAACGAAACCTAGAGCCCAAGCCCCCCTACTGCCGCTTCTTCCTCTCTCTCTCTTTCTCTCTCCTTCGCGATCGACTTCAGGCAGCGGCAATCTCTCTCCTCTTTCTCCTTTTTCCCCCAGCTCTCAAACGTTTTGAGGGGGTGATTAAAAGGGGGTTTAAAGAGGGGATTCTCACTGTAAAGGGGAATAGAAGAGAGATTTAAGAGAAGTTATTATACTGTAGCTATAGTATAATAACTTTGCATTTATTGAGAGATCTCAAGTTTGAGATCTGCTCTTTGCAGCTTGTAATCTTCTTTAATATAAAAAAAATTATTTGTGTGGCTCCCGAGGACGTAGGAAAGTTACCGAACCTCGTTAAAACTCGGTGTTCTCTATTCTTGCAATTATTTTAATTTACTGTGATTTCTTTTTTCTATTGTCTTAACACAAGATCCGGTAGCGCAAATTCCGCACGAGGGTTCATATTTGACAGGTGGTCGAGTAGCTTGAATTCCCCAACAACTGGTATTAGAGAACTTGTTCAGATCTGTGTGTGTAAGAAATAGCAGAAGAAGGAAAATCTAAAATTAAGAAGTTTGACGGATCAGACTTCGTCTACTGGAAGTCACAGATGTAGGACTATCTGTACCAAAAGGACCTTTACCGT